GACTATCATGTACAAGCCACAGCCAGCTCCCCAATCTTCTCTTTCCTTCCTAACACACAGACATGGAGATAGAAGTCTTTAGCCCAGTGGGATACATTTAGTGGCATCCATACAGGGGTTGTGCAGGTGGATTCTCACAGTGGTGGGCTTGGTGTCATTCCCGGAGCTTGTGAGTGCATTATGGGTCATTTTAATAAAGAAGTTTATTGTACTACTAGGGCATGCACTTATTTGGTCTGTTGTTAATGTGGGGGAAAGGGGGCTGAGGTCTCTATTATGTGTGTGTGGGGGGATGCTGAGGACAGTACAGTAATATGCTGAGTGCTTAGGACAATAATGTGGGGGGATGATCTGATAAGGGGCAGTGCATACTGTAGTAAAGTGGGTCAGAGGATTGTACAGTTGGGGGAGGTGGTTGATACCAAAGGAGCGTTAAAAGGAGTGGAGGGGGGGGGGGGGGGTAATGTGAAGGGAAAGCCAAGGACACTGCTGTGAAGGGAGGGGATCTTGATGTGAAGAGGAGGGAACTGTGGAGAAAGACAGACATTCCTTGACCCTTTTTCTAAATTATTCCACACTAAGCTACCTGCTGCTGTGGCAACTTGGCGTGCACAAAAATGCACCACAGGTGCTCATGCCTGGAGTGCCATTAAGATTTAATGGCACCCCTGAGTGTCTGCTAAAGTACAGAGTGTTGCTCTGTTGGTTGGGAACACATGTGATTTTGAGTGCGTTACCCACCTGCAGAGATGGGAACCTAGCCTAAGAGGAGAGGGGGGCTGTGATGGGAAGAATCTGAACCATTGCACAAAAATGTGATTCAGACCTCTGCTTAAGAAAATGTTATTGACCAGACCTCTGTGAATTTTAATTCAATCATTGTGCACTATACAATCCAACCTATGAACAATCTCCCCCACCCTTACCAACATCATACATCAGATTCCCACATTTATCTGAGGTGCTTATATATTTATTACTATTCAATAGTACCTGACATTTTCATACATTCAATAAAATTGGATAAGGGGTACTTTGTTTTAAGCAATTGCCTACCGGCACTTTTACCCCCTTGCTGCCTAGGCCTATTTTCAGCTTTCAGCGCTGTGGCTATTTTTATGATAATTGCGTGGTCACGCAACACTGTACCCATATGAAATTTTGATCATTTCTATTTACACATAGAGGTTTCTTTTGGTGGTATTTAATCACCACTGGGTGTTTTCTTTTTTGTGCTATATACAAAAAAAGAGTGAACAAATTTTTTTTTCCTGTTTCTATTTTGTAAACAAGTAGTTTTTGTCCTTGACTGATGTGTGTTGATGAGGCTGCACTGATAGGCAACACTGATGAGGCGGCACTAGTGGGCGTTGATGAGGAGGCACTGATGATGCTGCGCTGATATGCAGCTCTTATGGGCACTGACAGGCTGCAATGATGGGCACTGATAGACAGCACTAATAGGTAGCACTGAAGAGCACTGACTGGCAGCAATGACTGACGGCACTGATAGGAAGAACTGACTGACAGCACTAATATGCAGCACTGACTGGGAGTGCTGTTGGGCACTGATGGGCAGCACTGATGGGCACTTTTGGAGCTGCACTATAATCAGTGCAGATGTCTGCTTTGACAGTTGCCGGTTACTGGCAGTACTATCCTTATGCTATGAAAGCATGAGGAAAGTACTGCCAATAACCGGAAAGTGTATTTACATAGTGGTCAGCTGTGATTGGACACAGCTGATCACGTGGTAAAAGGCCGCTGTGATTGGCCATTTACCATGTCATATGATCAGCTGTGTCCAAAGGACACAGCGATCACAGGCAGTGTCGGGTGCGCGCCAATGGGGGCACATTCTGGGAGGACGTCATATGATGCCCTTCCAGAACTGGACAACCGTGCTGTAGCGGTGATTCAGCTATAGTGAGGCAGTAAAGTGTTTCACTATGCTCCTGAGGAGAGGATATTTTATTGAAATGGTATTGATATGGAGATGACCTTACGTTTTTTCTAGCTCCGATGAAGGGGCCTTTTTTAGACCCCCAAAATGCGTTAGTTTCTCTTTGGATAGACCCCTGGCTTTTACTAGAACAAATTTGTATCTGGACCTTTTACCAGTCATGTGGCACTTCAGTTTCCATTTTTGTTAATTTACAAAGCTTTTCTATTCTTGCAATGCAATGCTAATGGTGACTTTGTTATATGATTTTTTCTTTTATCAGCTCCGAGCTTAGGCAGGACAAGCTAAGCCATGGCATGACTAAACCAAAAGTGAGAATTTACAAAAATCATCCAGAAACTGCACATGGAGGCTGGCTGGTATTGTAATGTTCATGTGCTTATCTCTGTGCGCACGGTCAAGCATTAGCCAGTCTACAATACACATATACCGCTACGAATGCTGCCTTTTTCCTCTGACCGCATAGGATACAGGATTTTTGACATGCATGCCATTCTTTAGTAAGCTGGTCATTTTTAGGTGAAAAGTTAGAAGCACCAGAATTGCACCACACTGACCATTAGCATACAATCAGTGACGCAAGCACGCCATATTGGCTTATCCTTGCTTTACTAAATCAGCCCCATATGAGTTGTTGATATGGCTAATTCCTCTCTGTAATCTGTTGCTAATTGAAATAGGACAGGTGACCTTTTATAATTATATCTTACTCTTTGCTTCATACGATGGGCTATTTAAGATCTATAATTTTTCTCCAATTATCTTGATACATTTGTAGTAATTAGAGTGTGCCTAACCGGGGTAAGATTATACAACGTGATCTATAATTTGAAATGTAATTTCAGTGGAAACAAATTGCATTGCTACTTATACCATCCAACCTGGTGGACTCAATTTACCATTTTTTGTTCATACAACACAGTTACGCTGTACTTAAATTAGCAACTTCAGCCAACAAATCAAGACAGCAATTGCAGTTGTGTGTTTAAAGCAAGGGAAATGTAAAAAAAAAAGAAAAAGACGTAGTTATGATTTTTTCTATCTCTAATAAAGATAATGTTCAGTATATGTGTGTATGTGTATACACACACCGTCTGAATCTACTATATATGAATACATAATATGTTGCATTGGAGGTTATTTACTAAATCTAGAGAGTAAGAATCTGGTGCAGCTCTACATAGAAACCAATCAGCTTCCAGGTTTTATTGCCAAAGCTTATTCAAACAAGCTGAGGTTAGAAGCTGATTGGCTAGCATGCACAGCTGCATCAGATTCTGTGTGTACCAGTTTTATTAAATCTGCCCCATTGTGTCTTGTGTTGTCTTATGTTAATAATTTCTGTCAATTTATTTGAGTGGTTAAATGGAATGCAGTGCAACCAATGAATAAGCATCTGTAATCCCCATAATGTCCTCATCAGGTGTCCCTATCAGAGTGACCCAATCAGAGAGCAGGTGTCCCCATCAGGTGTCCCTATCAGAGTGACCCCATCAGAGAGCAGGTGTCCCCATAAAGTGTCCCTATCAGAGTGACCCCATCAGAGAACATGTTTCCCCAGTGACTGCTGGATAAAAAAAAAAAAAAACTGAATTTGCAGAGACCTCTTTTCTTTTATGTACAATCATGGATACTATAATATGAAGCAATGAGCAGCCAATCAGCAATTACCTGAGTCCTCTGGTCAGCGGGTTGTCTGCTCTCAGGCCACCCTGGCTGCACCTCCAGAGTCCTATGGTTGGGTCTCCTCTCTTTGTGTCCTTGCATCTGTTCTCTAGTTGTGTCCACTACCGCTCTGACAGTTCCCTGTGTTGCTGAACTGCTGAACCGCTCTGGTCAGCCTGGTCCACTCTGTAAGGCTTAAGGCAGGAACCACGGATCATTTGTGGCTAGTATGGACCAATCACAAGAAGAGGCACATGACCTCCTGTCATCATTGATTGGCAGTCACAGGCAGGGGGAGGGCAGGGGGATCACAGGGGTATGATTGGAACACTGGACAGAGGATATGCTCTGCAGCTCCGCTGTCTGGCCGGTGGCAGTGCAGTCATCTAGCCAGCAGCACGCAGCAGCCATTTAATCAATCTTTGACAGGACAGAGCTGATTGTTCGGGACAAATCTAAATTTTCGTGACTCTGCCCGGGACAAGGACAGCTGCCAAAATTCCGTGAGCATCCCGGGCATTTCGGGACTATTGACATAAGTGCTCATAACAAGAATGCCCAACCACATAACAAATCAGGCAGAACCTAACCCATTGCCATAACGTTGATTCATCATGTTTAATTTTTGTCTCACTTTTGATACAGAACTGTAGTCTGTGGTGTTCCCCCTTATACTGGAGGATCTGGGGCACCTGCTTAATGGATATGATAGACTACATAAAATGGAGGTCACTGGCTAGCTAGCAGAGGTGTTTAGTAGTTCTTACACCAGCTGAAATCAGAGCAGTGGCTCTTGTTTGTTTTTACCAGCAAAACTAAAGGGTCTGCAAGCCTAAATTGAGGCTAAGTAATTCCTCCGAGCCTAAGCATGAGTGCTTCTGGGAAAAAAATGTACAGTAATTGCCATCCTACCAGCCCTTATATCCCTCTTGGGAAAAACTGCAAACCAGGGTAATGAAAAGAAAAAAATAAAACAGGAGTTATAGCTGTCAGTATTAGGCTGGGCCCTAACTGTAACATCAATTCTATATGTGATGAAGCCAATGCGCAACCTTTAAGAATATATGCTGCATACTGGGCATTTAACAGACAATAATAAGTCATGTTAACACTTTTAGCTGGCATTTTTACTTAATAAACCCTTGCTACAGCAGAATATATTGAAGCCCATTAGAGCATTTAGTTACCAGGCAGCAGCATAATTACCACAGAACACAATTGTCAGGCCAGGCAGAAAGTAATTACATGGAGATACACCTAACCAACCACACTCTGTTGCATAGTAATGAGCTTTCTTTTTGAAGTACACTTGGTAGCTTTTAATCCCATGACAGCTATATATATAAAATCTAAATGTTCTGTTCTTATTTTCAGGCTCCTTTGCATTATCCATCCCTTTTGCAATGTACCAGAAATTGAGTACTGGTTACTGGTATGGACCACAGACGTACTGCATAGAAGCTTTCCCCACGGTCATCCATCAAAAGGCTTTCATACTATACACTTTTCTCGCAGTGTACCTGTTACCACTTCTAACAATTTGTGTATGCTATGCTTTCATGCTGAAGAGAATGAGCAGACCTGTTGTAGAGCCCATTGATAACAACTACCAGGTAAGCTTGGGTAGTAACTGGAAAACAATAGACAAAGATCAATCAATTAAACATTACCTGCTCTTTATTACGCACAACCTTTGCATGCAGTAGATCAAGGGTCTCCAAATTTTCAAAGCAAAGGGCCAATTTACTGTGCTTAAGGCTTTACGGGGGCTGGATTGTGGCCAGTGGGTGTAGAAAATGCCCCAGTGTCAGTGCCCCATCATTGGTTTTAATGGGAGGAATAGTGGCCTAATGTCGGTATCAGGGGCGGACTGACAACTTATGGGGCCTCTGGGCAATAGGGGATCATGGGGCCCCTGTGCCCTTGCCCACACTCAAAGCACACCTAAAAAAGCCTATAAAAGTTACCAGGGGCATTTCATGGGGCCCCCTACTGACCCCGAGCCCTCGGGCAATGCCCCTGGTCGGTATCAATTAGGTTGGATGTAATTTAAATCAAGTTGATTTAAATCACTAGTGAAAAGGCTCGATTTAAAACACAATTTTTAAAGAGCAACTGTTATCTCTGTCCCACAGCCCAGTGACAGCCCATTCACTTTAATGGGACAGCTGGTGATGCAGCAGTGAGTGGATGCCCGCTAACAGGCGCTGTCATGATGGACCTAAAATGACAGGTGCTCTTTAAATGTAAGGAATCCGAATCATTCTTGCTGGAAGTTAGAATCTTTAATATTTGCAAACCAAATGAAGGTGTCCTTTTTAGAATAATAAATTATCAGGTTGGTAAAACAGCGATATCAGGACCAATTTTAGGCTAATCACACATAGTTGAAGAACTACTCAAATTATTTTATGTCATGTTTTCTCTCATGGTTACTGTGAAATTGTGTGAATGCATCAATGCAGTGCATGTTATCTCAGCTTGCAGAGCTTGGATTCATTGAATGAGTTTACCAAAAATGTAAATATTGCAGAATACACAGAATATACATAACATGCAGAATATACATAACATACAGAATATACAGAACTATTTTATTTATTTCAGGTACTTATATAGCGTCATCAATTTACAGAGCACTTTACATATATATTGTACATCCACATCAGTCCCTAACCGTCAAGTGGCGTACAATCTAAGGTCCTTAACTCACATTTATACATACATATACTAGGGACAATTTAGACAGGATCCAATTCACCTACCAGCATGTCTTTGGATTGTGGAAGGAAACCAGAGTACCCGGAGGAAACCCACACAGGCACAGGGAGAACATGCAAACTCCAGGCAGGTGGTGCCATGGTTGGGATTTGAACCAACGACCCTAGTACTGCCAGGCGGAGGTGCTAACCATTTAGCCACTGTGCTGCCCAAGCTCCATTTCATGCTGAATAAACTAAATTATAAATAAAGTATCTTAAATAGAAAACTATCTTTAGATAGATTTTTACTCAAAAAGCATTTTATTAACCTCTATATATGGCCTATGTAAATAAATGGCTGGACAGGAGCGCTGCCGATGCGGGTGGATGTTTCTAAACGTCCCCCCACATCCACTGCCTGTATGAGCTCGCTGGGAGCGAGTGGCACCGCGACAGTCCCTGCTGTGTCCTCCGAACACAGATTGCTGTACGGGACCTCTGTGTGAGGTCCCGATTCATGTGATCACTGATTGGCCGATCAGTGATCACATGAACAGTAGTAAACAAGATGTCACTTCCTGACATCATAGCTTACTACTTGTGAAATCTGTGAATGATCACAGAGGTCACATGGTACAAGGCTACTCACAACAGCCTTGTACCATGTGACAAGCTGTGACCAATCACAGCTCGCACAGTATTTCTCAATGGCTGCAGGAATGATTGCTTTTACAGCCTTTATGGGTGGAAAAGCAATCAGTGTAAAAAAAGAAAAAAAATCTTCATTACCCCCTACAAGTAGTACAGTGTCACTATGGTGACACTGTACTGCTAGGCTGACAGTATGTTCAAAAAACAAAAACCCATACATAATGATATAAAAAAATAAAATAAAATGTAAAAATAATTTTGAAAAAATTATAATTTTTGGTTAAAACTAATTTGGGTGATTTTTTTTTTTTACTAAAATTATAGATGAATACATTTTGGCCAAGATTTATGAAGAAAGATTATTTATTTGCAAGATTTTATAAGAAAAACACTTTTTTTAAATTTTTGGACTTTTTCATTTATATAGCAAACACAATAAAAATCCCAGTGGTGAATAAATATCACCAAAATAAAGTTTTATCTGTCTCAAAAAATGCTAAAAATTTTATATGGGTACAGTGTTGCATGATCATGCAATTGTCATTCAAAGTGTGATAGCACTGAAAGCTGAAAATTGGCCTGGACTGGAAGGGGGTGAAAGTGTCCGGACTTGAAGTGGTTAAATTAAATTTGATAACAATAAAAAAAAATTTGATTTAAATTAAAAAAATCAAATCCGATTCTTTTGATTTAAAAAAAGTAATCGATTTTTATCCACCCTGGTATCAATGTTAAGAATAGTGCCCCCTTATTGGTATCAGTAGGGGGAATGGTGCCCTACTATTGATGTCAACTGTAAAAGTTATTAAACTAAACTAAAATTTGATCCCAGCAAGTAGTCAGCAAAAAAAAAGAAATATACCTTCTAACACCTTGCATTAACCACTTCAGCTCCGGAAGGTTTTACCCCCTTCATGATCAGCTATTTTTTGATATACACACTACACTACTTTAATTGGTAATTGCTGACAGATCGCTCCCTGTGTACAGAGCTCTGTGTTGTTTACCAACATTTTTTTCTTTTACCACATTTCACTGTGTTTGTTGCCATTTTTGTGCATGACAGAATGCACATCTGCTTGCAGTATTTGGAGTGCGATTAACCACTTGCCTTCCTGAGGATTTACCCCCCTTCCTGACCAGGCCATTCTTTGCGTTTCGGCGACGTGTTACTTTAACTGACAATTGCACGGTCATGCAACGCTACACCCAAATGAAATTTGTCTTTTTTTCCCCATGAATTGAGCTTTCTTTTGGTGGTATTTGATCGCCTGTGCGTTTTTCATTTTATGCGCTATAAAAAAAAGCCCAACAATTTTGAGAAAAACCGATGTTTTTGACTTTTTGCTATTAAACATGTCCAGTAAAAATGTTTATAAAATCAAAATTCACCATAAATTTAGGTCAAAATGTATTCTGTGACATGTCTTTGCTAAAAAAAAATGCCAATACATGTAAATTAATTGGTTTACATGAAAGTTATAGCGTTTACAAATGGCGGTATAGATACTGGAATTTTTTTTTCTACTAGTAATGGCGGCGATCAGCGACTTATAGCGGGACTGCGGCGGACATTCAGACACTGGGGGGGGAACTGCTTTGGTGTCACTGACATCCCCAGTGACACCAATACAGTGATCAGTGCTAAAAAAAAACCTGTACTAATGACATTGGGCAGGAAGGGGTTAACATGAGGGGCGATCAACGGGTTAACTGTGTGCAGGGAGTGTTTTACTAGGGGGCTGTGTCTGTGTGCTTCGCTGTAATCACACTGCTCTAAATGGCTGTGCTATGCACAGCCTTCCAGAGCAGTGTGCCCGAGCTGACAGGGAGGAGAACTGTTAGTAAACAAAACAGTCCTCCTTCCTGTCAAAGATTATTATTAATATAATACAGGATTTATATAACGCAAACAGTTTGCTCAACGCTTTACAATATAAAGGGAGACAATACAGCAACAATACAGTTCAATACAAGAGGATTAGGAGGGCCCTGCTCTTTGGAGCTTACAATCTAAGAGATGCTCGGCAATCACCGGTGCCGGCGGGTAATTACTGGCCAGGATACGGTGACTGACAGCTGCGGCCATGAATGGCGGTGTGGGTAGGGTGCGTGCGCAGAAATGCAAAATCACGTATATATACATGATTTTGCGCACACCTGTCGCCCTGTAGCAATATATCTGCTATAGAACAGTGGGAATGCAGTTAGCAATGAATGATACCACAAAAGTGACATGGGTTTTCACTGTGTTTTGTAAACACATGCAAAACCATGCCATTTTGGGCATATTTAGTAAAAGCCTGGTTTGAATGGAGCCATAAGGAGGAATGGGTCCTTCCAATTACTATGTAGAAGGCTGTGCCACCACTTCAAACACTGACATTAGAACATTAAAAACTGATGTTTCTCCTGTTAAAGGTAAATGAATGGGCAATTTTATTAACATGGTTCCGTACATCCTGGATCTGCATTTTTACATTGTTGTTTGCATTGTCATTTACTCACGTACATGTAGACTGTAACTCTGTTTGAAAGTACAATTGTACGTTTAGTAGAGCTGCCCTTTAAATATTCTCACCTCCCAAAGTGTATCCCTCTTGGTCAAGTACTGTATATACCTGCCTCCCCATTGCAGTGATCTTTCAACATACATTCCTATGGGTGAACCGAACTGTACTGGACAGCTGGAGGCCACTATGAATATGGCTCATCCATAGAAAAGAATGTGCAGTAATCCCCAGAAGGTCATTGCAATGTAAAGACTATGTGGTCCTGAGCAGTTATTCCGCACCCTTAAAAATTAAAAGCATAAAACTATATCATGCTATAACTGAAAATCTATGAGCAGAATTGTCTGTGATAAGTATCAATGAAGAATTTCAAAAAACTAATCATGTGTTCTGTTTTCTTAAGGTTCAGCTTTTGGCAGAGAGATCTGAGGCAGTGAGATCAAAGATATCCAAAATGGTGGTGGTGATAGTTCTGCTTTTCACCATTTGTTGGGGGCCAATCCAGCTTTTTATTTTGTTTCAAGCATTTGATTCTAATTTCCAGCAAAGTTATGAAACCTACAAACTGAAGATTTTTGCTCATTGCATGTGTTACTCTAACTCATCGGTCAATCCAATTGTGTATGCATTCATGGGGGCAAACTTCAGGAAGTCATTTAAGAAAGCCTTTCCATTCATTTTCAAGCCAAAAGTTGAGTGCATTACTGGAGCAGTTGGTAACACAGAAATGCATTTTATGTCATCAGGAACTTGACTTATCCAATCAAATCACACTCTTTCAGATTGCAGTAACAACTAAGGCACTATCACTAGTGTTGCCAACCTACCAGACTAAAATTCACTGACATACCCACATGGAAGAAAAATATATTTGAAATATAGTTTAAAAGTATTCTTTCCAAATATATTGACATATATTTTAAATGCTACAATCTTGGCCATATTTCATATATATATATATATATATATTATATATATATATATATATATATATTTATTTATTTTATTGAAATATATATATATATACACATATATATATATATATACTGTATATATATAATGTTGAAATGTGTTTTTATTATAAAATATATGAAAAATATATTTTTAAAAATACATTTCAAATATACTGCATGTCTTTAAAATGACAAATCTACATATTTGGAATGCATTTATAAATATATGTAAAAATATATGGCAAAATTACTTTTTTATATGTTTTAAAAAAAATCTGAAGAATATATTTAAAAAATATATATTTTTAAAAATATGTTTAATATATTTTGTAATATATAAAAAATGTATTTCGACATGCAGTATGTTTGTGTGTGTATATATATATATATATATATATATATATATATATATATATATATATATATATATATATATATATACACTGCATGTTGAAATGCGTTTTCATATATATATATAACATATATTTATTGAAATAAATTTTGAAATATATTGAATATGGCCAAAATTGTAGCATTTTAAATATATGTCTATATATTTGGGAAGAATATTTTTGCAACATATTTCAAATATATTTTTCTTCCATATGGGTAACACCATAATTTTCCTGGCACAGCCAAGTTTTTTCAAAAGTTCCAAAATTACAGTTTTAAGTGCAAACTTCAGTATTTAGGCTACAAACAAGTACAATATGCAATTAGCAATGCGATTTAAGGTAGATATTAAGGCAAAAAAAACATATTTCTTTTATTTTTCGATATAGTAAGTAGGTAGCTCAGAGACAGGAGTCAGGAGGGCAAGAAATTAGAATGGGCAGCCACACAAACATGAAATTGACTCTCAGGCTCCATGCACACTAGGCATTTAATAACGCTAGTAAAGTTAGCTGTGTAAAGTCACATTAAAAACCTTTTTTCAGCGTTTTTTAACACTTTGCACTAGCATTTAGCTTTTTTTGGTCAACAATAGTCCAAAAAACGCCAGTTTGCTGCGATTTCCAACATTAGAGTGTTTTTACAGCTAAAAAACTCCTCTAGAAACCCACTAGTCCTGGGTTTGTTTTCCAGCCAAAAAACTCCCCTGCCAAAAAATGTTGATTACAGTCTATGTGTGCATGGACACATAGGATAACATGCTGGGGGGTTTAATGTCTGTAGAAAAAAATGTCAAAAGCCAACAACAGCGGCTGTAAAAACATCCAGTGTGCATGAGGACTCACAGTGACAATGACAGCAGTGTGCAGCAGCACAGATTATGATGACACGTCCCCTCCTGAGTCACAGTGACAGTCTCTGTCCATGCCAGGTGGTCCCTTCAGTCCACTACAGCCCAAAAACCACTGATGGTCCCACTCCCGGCTTGCCTTGCTCCCATCCCGCAGATCCACACATGACACTCCGATTGGCTCCCTTGCACCATGACATCACATGACACACTCAGGTACCGCCTCTGCCAGACCCAGCACTCACCGGCACCACCTAAACACACTATAGCAGGTACTCAGATGGTCTCACCTGGCATGCGCAGTTCCAAGCCAAGCACTTCTGCCATATTTTTAACTGGCAACCTTTTTCTATCACTGTCATTTACTTGCAGGAGAAAAGTGCTTGTTTTTTACTGACTGCCAGTAAAAATAGTGATGGTTGGGAACACTGACTGTCCCACAAATCATTTTACATAAGGGGAGAATGTGTGATGTAAATATTCAAGACCTTTCAGTAACCGCTTGCCCTCCAGAGGATTTACCCCACTTCCTGACCAGGCCATTTTCTGCGATATGCACTGTGTTATTTTAACTTACATTTGCGTGGTCATGCAACACTGTACATAAATAAAATTTATGTAATTGTTTTCCCACAAATAGAGCTTTTTTTTTCGGTGGTATTTGGTCACCTCTGCGGTTTTTATTTTTTTGTACTATAAACAAAAAAAAAACAATTTTGAAAAAAAAACATTTTTGACTTTTTGCTATAAAACATCCAATAAAAAAATCAAAAAAAAAATCAAATTTCATCATAAATTTAGGCCAAAATGTATTCTGCTACACGTCTTTGCTAAACAAAATCTCAATACGTATAAATTAATTGATTGACGTGATAGTTATATTGTCTACAAATGGCGGTATTTATACTGGAATTTTAGGTTTTTTTTATACTAGTAATGGCGGCGATTAGCGACTTATAGCGGGACTGCGGGACTGTGGCGGACATTCTGACACTGAGTGGTAACTGACTAACTGCCACTGACATCCCCAGTGACACTAATGCAGTGATCAGTGTTAATAAAAAGCACTGACACTGTACTAATTACACTGGGCCAGAACGGGTTAACATATGGGAAGATCAAAGGGTTAACTGTGTGCTGTGTGTTTCACATTATGTGCTGTGTGCTGTTTTACAATGGAGACATGCTGCTGTGTATTTCTCTGCTGTTCAGAGAAATACAAAGCAGCATGTCTTTGCTGACAGGAGAGAGACCTGTGCTGTTTACACATAGGTTTCTCCCCTGTCAGCTTTCCCCGACGATCAATGAGTGCCGGCGGGGAGTCGCCAGCCAGGACCCATTGATTGACATCTCTAGCCGCCCTCTACCCGGAAATGCTAAATTTTATATATATATATATATATATATATATATGTGTGTGTGTGTGTGTGTGTGTGATTTTTTGCAGCCCTACCTCTCTGTAGCAGTACTTCTACTATAGGGTGGTGGGCAAGCAGTTAAGTCATGTCCACAGTGTAAACCCTATGATTAATCATTTGACACTATATATAAATTATATGCTTTGCCTATGTATTGGGACCTGTACCAAGTTTTCTGCCACCTGTACATGCTTAGTATGTTTTTCAGGTCATACTGTATTTTGCCTACAAGCTGTGAATGTTATGTATATTTAAAAACACTACAATTGCAAACAATGCAAATGCCATGCTCCTGTGTCTTACCCTAAATGTGTTTATTCAAGTGTATTATTTAAAAGCATATTGTTAAAGTATGCACTGTGTATCTTTTGAATCTGTAAAGATTTTGCACATGGTAATACTCTACAACAGGGTTTCTCAGCCAGGGTTCCATGGAACTCTAGGGTTCCTCCAGATGTTGCTAGGGGTTCCTTGAGCAATTTCTGCCTCTCAGAGTATTCCCACTGACACCACTGATGTGCACGGAACGGAAAAGGAAAAATGTGTTTTGGATTCATTTGTTAAGTTAATAACTTCAGTTTGTCATATATGTTAAGTTAGAATGATTCATTTTTGGAAATGTATTTCGAATATTCAGATTCACATTATTTTCAATTTGATTTCTGAAGATGGCTATATTTGTTCTATTCTATTCTATTTTTTCTATTCTTTTATTTTCTATCCTTTTTTTCCTATTCTATCTTATTCTGTTCTATTCTATTCTTTTCTATTCCATTCTTTTGTTTTCTGTTCTATTCAGTTCTATTTTATTAATTTTTATTGTATTGTATTGTTTTGTTTTATTTTATATTCTATTCCTTTGTTTTCTATTTTATTCTATTGCTCTATTTTTTTTTCTATTCTGTTGTATTCTATTAAATAGGAATCATCATATTTTTCACTTTTATACCTTATTGTATTTATTTCAAAATGCTTCCATTTAGAAGTTTTCTGCCACCTGTATATGCTTAGTATGTTTTTTAGGTGTTTTTTTCAGGTTTATATTTTGCCTACAAGCTGTGAATGTTGTGTATTTTTAAAAACACTCAAATTACAAACAATGCAAATTCCATGCTCCTGTGTCTTACTCTAAATGTATTCAAGTACATTATTTACAACATATTGCTCAAGTATGTATCTGCATCTTTTGAATCTGTAAAGATTTTGCACATGGTAATACTCTACAACAGGGTTTCTCAGCCAAGGTTCCATGGAACTCTAGGGTTCCTCCAGAGGATGCTAGGGGTTCCTTGAGAATGAGAAATTTCTGTCTCTCAGAAATGTTCCCACTGACACTACTGATTTTTAGAGATGTTGTCAGGGATCCCAGGCCCTCGGCGGTGTGCGCGCATGCGCAGACTGCCGATCCGTCCCAGCTGGCGAGCGCAGAGTCCTCGGCGATCGCGGCGGCGGCCCCGCAATGCGCAGTAGCGATCGCGGCCGCACCAATGGGAGAGCAGGGCGCTCTATTTAAAGCTGCCCTGTGCATCTCCAAGTTGCCGCAAGGTCTTGTTCCTGTTCCTGTAGTACGTTTCCTTGTTGCCAAACTCTGCCTGTTCTGTTTATGCTGACCTTCCCCTGCTCTGACTCCAGCTCGTTCCTGACCATCCCTCTGCCTGACCCTCGGTACCACGCTGCCCGCTACCTACTGAACCTGGCTTGTGACCCCGACCATTCTCCGCTTACTCCCCCTGTACCACGCTGCCCGCACAATACCGACCTGGCTAGTCTGACCTCGCCTATCCTGACAGTCGCCCATCCATCCCGCTCGGATCAGGATCTGTCATCCCATCCATCCCGCTCGGATCGGGAACTGTCGTCCCCTTCACAGCAGGCTCAACCCGGGCACATACCCTCAGCGGGACCCCTCTGCCGCCGCTGGGGGTGCCCAGGAACGCGACCTGGTTTCAGTCTTGCACCAAGTCCATCCCCACCATCAGGGGCCCTGGTGAAAAGGCAGACTGGGACTTAGACTCCGCGTCCTGGGAAACCCCGTGCCGTGGACCACTAG